TCGTCATAATGTTTCGAAATCAAAATAGGACTGTAAACTAAAACACTAAATGGAAGTTGAAGTTGCAACTTGCAGCTGCAGCTAAAGTTGCGACCTGGGAACTGCGAACTGCAAACTAGGGAATTTTGATGTCGGGCCGCAGCTGGCGTTGACAGTGTAAAAACGGGGACGTGGATGTAGGGGGATTGGAGCATTGCCTTTGCTATCCGTGTCCCGGTTGCCTGCCCCTTGCCTGCTTGTCGCTTGGCGAGGCTGTTTAATAGCTTTTCGGGGCAGAGTCGTACAAGAAACACAAGAAACACGCCTACAAACCCAGCCAAGAGTACTAGTTGCTGTTGTTGCTGTTGCTGTTGCTTTTGCTGTTATTGTTGTTGTTGGAAACGCCTACCTAATCATTTTGGCGTTGACACTTGACACTTGCAAAAGAAATGCGACAACAGCGACGATGTCTCTGTCTTTGCCGTTGTCTTAGGGTTTTTGGTGTTGGTCTTGGTCTTTCTTTTTGGCCCATTCCTCATACGACTTGTTGTACGAGATGTGTTTAAAAATTTCTTGCTTTTTTTTTCCACTTGCCAGATGCTATTGCAAATGTGAATGTTGTATTTGTCTTTGAAGATTGCGACTAAGAAAGTGGCTGCGGAATGGAGTTAAATGTGCTCCTTGCAGATTGGGTAGCTCAGTTTCCTAGTTGGACTTGTTATTGCACGAAAAGATACCATATTAAGATTAATCGTCGGAATATTTATGCTTGTAATGATTTTGTGTGGTGTATGATATGGATTTATTATTAGAAACTGCAAAGAAATGAACACAAATTAGGAGATTTAAGACTAATGACGTTATTAGAAAGTCATTGCTACAGAGATGAATAATATATATCTATTAATTATTCTTATATTTTACTATTTTTACATTACAGTTACAAGTAATGGGAGATTCAAATTAGAATCTTGACTTATAATACATTTAAAACAAAGAGAAGAGCATCACTTGAAGATCTTCGTTTAATACATAAATTTCTCTGGCTGCGTTGATGTCTTTGTCACAGTGCCCGCCCACACACTCCCTCACACACCCAGATGTTGAGTCAGTCTTTGATAAGGTTGTGTTGCCAGCCTCTCGAGTAATTGATTTGTTGTTTTTTAAATGTAGCTCTCTATAAATTATGCACTCAAGACTGTCCCCGACGCCATCTTCGTTACTGCCTCCGCTGAGGCGTGGCAATTTGTATGTTGCATGCAAAACGCTGCCAGCCAAATGACGCATGAAAAACAAAATCAATAAGAAAAACGCAAGTGGCAGGGGTGAAAAACTTTTCAGAATTGCCAACTCAGAGCAATTCTGTGGTCGCTTCATTTCACAAGCGCTCCGTATTCCACAAAAAAAAACGAAAAAAAAAAGAAGTGAAACACGCTTATTTAAGCAATAATTTCTTGACGCTCTTTTCAGGTTGCCTTTTCTTTCGATTTTTGTTTTTGGTTTTTGATTAATTGACCCGCTCATAAAGTGACACATTGAAAATTGGAAAGCAAATCAAGCACAAAAAGCAGCCGAAAAGTCGCAAGCCAAACGCATGAAATCAGCACAAAAATAAATAAATAAATAATAAAAGGCAAAAATGGGGCGAACGCCAAGGAAATTGTTGCTAAAAGTGTAAAAAGTTCAGACTCTGTCCAAAGGTCGTCAAAGTGAAAAATTCGATAAACGAAAATGGACAACGCCAGCAAAAGGCAGCAACTGCGACGCCAACTGCCACGGCGATGTTGAGAGCAACAATGGCGCAGCGCACGAATTGAAACGGAAATCCTTATTGAACTAGAGTAAGCCTGAGAGGTTGATGGGAGGGGGTGGAGGGTAGGTGGAGTATGTTGGCTGATGGGTCTTGAGGCGCAGGAAGCACAACGGAGGAGCAACCAGCAAGACTCACAGGCCGCGCTGCTACTGCTGCTGCGTTGCCAAACCGGAAAAGCATGCTGCCGAAAATTTGTGCTGAGTGGCAGCTGAGAGCTGCTGCTATTGTTGTTGCTGCCGCTGCTGCTACTGCTGCTACTACTGCTTGGAGGCTCTCGGCCAGCGGCGTCCTGCTGCTGCCCAGTGGCGGATGCCTAATGGCAACGCGACACAAAACACAGACGCACATACGTAACGCGCCGGAAATAGCTGGAAATGCCTTTTCTAAAAGCAGCAAATGCCACTCAAGCAGCAGCTGCACAGGCAAACAAATGTGTCAAAGCTGCTATGGGAAAAGATTTTAAGAAATACTACCATAATGCGAGAATAGTGATCAATGATATTCTCTCAAGCTCTCAGTTCTTATCTAATCATTCCCTTTTATTTATGGTTGGCTTTATCATTAGATGGCCATAAGTAAAATAATTTGTTGTTTTTATATTTGTAACTCTAATTTTAGTTTTAATTCAGTTGTACTTGGAAGTTGTATATGTTGCTTAAGCCCCGGTTAAGCTACTTGGCGAGCAGTCTATTGCATTTCATAGTTTTATCTCACTTGAACCAGAATAGTCCAGATAGAAGACCTGCTATGCCCGCCTCCACTTTTCAGCAGATTAACACGTTCGGTGCTGAATGCAGCCACAACAGCTTTAATTAAGACCCAGACTGAAAGCACAGTTACTACCTGACTCTACCACAAAAACACTTGTTAGTCGAGTTGCTGCTGCTGCTGCTGCTGCTGCTGTTGCGACTGTTGCAGTTGCTGGGAGCCCAATTGAGGTGAGGTTCTCGAGAACACCCACTTGTTCAGTCGTTGGCCAATCTATCTTAACTGCCAATTTGCGTAAAAATGCTGGCACACAAACATACATGGAAAAAAGAGGGGATAGGACACGACCGGATGGTTGGACGCTCAGGTGCTGTGCATGTGCTGATTTTTCATTTAATATCGCAAAATAGGAAATTGCTCCTTCTCTTACTATTTCTATGGCTTGGCACCTCAAAAGGGGCAGCTTGGTCACATTGCGCCCGTAGTTTTGAGCACAACGAATTGGATTGTCATGCCAATCGATAAATATTTGCACATGGCCTGCTACAAGAGGAGACGCCTCTTAATATGGGCTAAGTGGCTAGGCCACTATGAAGCAGCAGCAGCAGCAGCAGCAGCAGCAGCAGCAGCTCAGCAAAGCTACAACTTTGCCACATGACGAGGCAAGCTATTTAGGCCACACACAGAACTACCAAAACAAAACGAGAAAGCCTTTGGTCAACATTAAATGACAGCCCTCGAGATGTGTCTCGTGCGGGCCACCCACGAGGCGGATGTGCTCTCACAAAAATCCTTGTTGCGTTTGCCAAATAGAATTTAAATCTGTTAAATCCTCGTACATGGCAGTTTCAATGTTGAATTTGTCTTTGCCCCAATTGTTGCCATCTATTTTTTGCTCACTTCTTATTTATTTTTGCTTACGGCAGACAGAAAAATAGAGGAGGAATCCTCATCCAGCTAAAATCTCCATTTTCACCCAGTCCTTCAGTTCTCCTACTTTTTTTTTTTTTGCTTCACGTGTATTTCATCTTTTAAGCTTTCGCTGGTTTGTAATGTGGTGTGGTCTCGAGGTGATTTTGATTGAGTGCGATTTGTACTTTGTGTTGCCTACGTGTTTCGGTTTTTTAAATAATATTTACCTCATGTGACTGCTGTACTTCTTGTTGTGTATCTAGGATTTATTGTTGGCTATGGTTTCTGATTGCAAAGGATAACAGCAGCAGGAGCAGCAACAGCAGCAGCAACGATGGTTGCGACTTTCACTTTTATTACTCGTATATGCCAACGGATATTGTTTGATATTATTTGCTGTTTGCCATTTACTTTTTAGTTTGGCAGGCTTTTGTATGTTGCCAGCACATAAGTTGGTATTTGCTCAGCCGTAAGAAAGGAAATGGATTTATTGTAGGGATAACGTACAAGGAAATTGATATGGGACGCATCGGAGAAACATGCGATGATTGGCCAACTTTAACAATAAAATTGTTAAAGATTGAAGCACAGGAAGATCTTAGAAAATATTTTAAATAAACAATTTATATTCTATAGGTGAATTTGTTAGTAAGAATAATTACAAATAAAAGTGGAGACTTAAGTGCAATCCAAAGACTTTCTCTTAATGGAATATTAAAACTTATGAATTCACTTTACTTCTGGTAAACAATTTGTCTTTTTACAGAATGAAGCAGTAAGGATTTCACGAGAAATTCTTGGGAAATGAGAACAGAAGATCTGGTCGTGATAGTTTTATTTTAAATACAATCAAACAATGTTGAGAGATTCTCCAATATTTACACTTCTTCGTCAAAAAGCTTTTATTTGAGATAATTTCGCACCTTATTTATTCGATTACCATCTGCTGCCCTTTTAACTACCACTTAAATCCGCCGAGTTTCCATTAGTATTTTACGGATTTCAATGTTCAAGTTCAATGTACAAAACTCATCGCTGAGGGCAACGGCCTTTGGCAGGCCTGCAAATTATCCATGCGACCCACAAGTGCAGGCATTAAATATCTGATCTGCTCGTAAACTAAACAAATTAGCGCCCGCTATTGGCCCGGGGCAGACAGCCGTCTAAAAGTAGTCTGCTGGGTACTATCAACTTAATGCTAAATCGATCATGAAAGCGGCTAAGGCAAATGCAAAACATAAACATAAACTCGGTCAAAGAAAATCGCGCTAAACGAACAAAACTATTGAGACAGTCCAGTTTCGAACATTTTACGATTGCAATAAACAGACAACTGGGCAGAACGAGCAACAGCAATGCTTTGAAATTGATTTACGAGGCGATAATATTAACAAGCAATCCCACTCAATAGATCATCTATTAAATTAGCACTTGACACTAGAGTGAAATTTCAGCGAAATGCCATCACTTAAATCGTGAACTAAGCGATAGCAGGCAGAACTTGGATGGTTACAATTACAGGTGCTACTATATAAGCCACTGATGATCGACACTTGGAGCACAGTCTTCATCCACTCAAGTATCCAAGATGTTCAAGAATTGTATTCCACTCTTGCTGTTCTTCACAGCCTGTGTGGCCTTAACCTCTGGGGCTAAAATCAGTTCAGGGGAGGCCTTAACGCGCAATGCGGGTAAGCAAAAGCAACTTGGGAATAATTCGAAAAAAAAACTTTTGTAACAGCTCAGATCTGCTTATTAAACTAAACTTTGCCAATTTAGTTCATTGTTGAATGCAGCTCAATTTACAAAAACATTTCCTAAGACAACAAACATTTACAATTGAATTGAATTTCGATCTATTTTGGTTGTAAATATGTTCAAATTATGTTGATCAGCTTTAGATTGGACTTTATGACTTGATTTCTATTTGAACTTTGTATACATATAATAATCATCTTTATTTCATATACACACAGTACTAACTGGAATTCAGCCACGCTTCATTGGCTGGAATAGACGTGGGAATGATAATCAGCAGCCGCCCATTATTATTGTGCAACCCAACCAAAATAGTGACAGGCACCAGCATAGTCCTTCCTACTGGCCTGACTACTATCCTTATCCAGGAGTGGCACCACCACGCCGTCCACCTTTCCAGTTTCCTGGACTTGGTGAATATCTGAACGGTAGCGGATCGATCGTCATTGTTAACCCTAACAATGCACAGAATTTGAGTTTCCAAGGTGCTGCTCCAGCTGCCACTGATGCTGGCGCAGGCGGAGGCGGACGCAGAAGCGCACCCCGAAACATTGGCTATCGTCACAATGTGATTCCCGTTGTTGAGTTACTGCAAGGCAGCATTGCGGATGAAAATTTCGATGAGATCAATTTACCGAGCTATGAGCCGGAGGCAGCAGGCGCAACTGCAGCAATTGCCAAACCGGCACCGGCACTGGCACCGGCACCGGCTCCATATGACGGCGATGAGTATCCATTTGACGGCATTGCATCCGATGATGAGCTGGCCCTGCTGGAGCGACAGGCTAGTCGAGGCCTGAGCACCAAAAATTTGCTGTCATTTTTGATACAGGACAAGCGACGAAGGCGCTTCCAGGAGGCAATCGCCGGTATCTACTTGAAGAACTACAATCAGAATCGAAAGTGAACATGAATGTACAAGTTGACCACAGTTGAGAATCGAAGGCAAATAAATTGAAATTATATAAGGCAAAAGCCAAGTAAAGCCACGGCCAGCAAACAAAACCAGAAACTCTCCTTTCTATTTGTCTTCATTATGCCATTTGCCATGGTGCGCACTTTATCATAGTTCCCCGGAGAAATCTAAGCTAAGTTGTTTCTCTATTTCTGTGCTTCACTGTTTCTCCTCGTCTCAGCAGTTTTGGCATTGTTTGGTCCGCTCCTCGCGTTCTATTTTATATGCATATATATATATATATATATATTTATTTTTTTTTTGTTCGGTGAAGTTTTACTATTTTTGTTGGTTCAACATTTGGTGAATTCGCATTCGCAGTTGCAGAGCAGTCGCAACAGTAAAATAATCTGCAACTGCAGTTGAAATATTTATTTGCAATTCCCCAAACTAACGTGTGCTCCTCTTGCTTCTTCACTCTCTCTCCCTCTCTTTCTCTTTGCCTTTCTCTCTCTCACTCTTTCTCATTCTGCCAACAACACGGCAGCAGGTAGCCAACGAATGGGCGAAAACTCCTTTGAGGTCTGGAGAGACCCAAAGTTTTTCTATTCGAGCTGCAGCTGCATTTATTGTTTCAGGCTCAAAACTTGCAGAGCCCAAAACGATGTAAGCTTTATAAATTGTTGCGCATAGTTTCTACAAAATACATTTCTTTTTCATACTCAAACAAAACACGTTTCCATCAAAAATACTTTGTATTTAAATTCAGTAAAAAGACAATTTTGTTGCTTACCACAAATTGAACAACAATTTTTTTTTTACATTTTTGCAAACGATTGGCAGAAATGAAGAAAATTCATTCTTGTGACAAGCTTTGGCAATATTTGAATTAATATGAAAGTTTTTCAGTTTTAATGTTTACTTTAAATATTAATAGGTTATCAAATACAACGAAAAGTCTATTCCAGAAACTGGCATAGACTTCGAATGTTTTACTTGAGAAAGTTTGCTTATATTTTATACAGTTTTCTCTATTTTTCGACATAATATTAAACACATATATTTGCGCATTTGCTCGGCCGTTTTTCACAAACTTTGCAGACTTTTGAAATTGGCGTTTAAGCTGAGGCATATTTTAGCCAGACCATCCCGATTTGTGATAGCAGATAGTAAAGGTAAGTAGAAATAGTGGATGCATTCCCTTATTTCAGACGTTGCCTATTTCATTGTTGCTTTGCTGCGCTCTGCACGACTCTTCACTCCCTCAAATTAAGAGGGGAGCAGAAAGCGCTTACAATAACAAAGAGGAGAAAAAATGCTGACCGCCCACCTGCTGCCCTCTGGCCCAAAACCAACTGTCTGCGTGCTTAGAACAGTGTTGCCCACTTTGGAGAATCAGAAATAGCCAGTTTTAGAAGGAAGTAACAGAACAGAGTCTCCGAAGAATTCGATTTTGTAGATTTCAATGTATTTAGATATCTATGTATTCATTGTACAACTTATTTCGAAAATAATCAGCGACTGCAAAACCCTCTATTCCCAGCAGTATAATCTGTTTGATTTTTGAGATAATGTATTTCAATTTTCATAAAAAGTAATCTTAAATATTTCGTAGTGAGCATGTTTTTGAAACTGAAAACCAAAAGCGAAAACTGCCACAATTTGAATTGAACTTCGCTTTCTATCTGACTCTTAAGGAAGCCAGCGTCAAGGCGAAAAATGCGAAATTGGCATCACTGGCGTTGAAACTCCGGTGGCAGAGTTTTTATGCAGACCGAGCACCGGGATACGGACACGGTCGTTTGGTGCTGGCTGCTACCGTTTGTTGCATGTCCTGCGGCGGCCGAACTTGTTTGAAATTTGACGTGTGTAGTTTGCTGTCCTGGTGCTAGGAGCTGATAGCTAAGTGCTGGTAGTAGCTGCCAGCCTGGAGCTGTAGCACCAGAGCTGCACTTATTTTTCCAAATTTATATGCAAGCTGCAGCGGCAGCACGAAAAATGTTCGTTTCAATTTCGCTTTTTTGCTCGGCTTCGCTTAACAAATTGATGAATGTCTCGACGCTGGCAAGGAGCTCTTCGAGCTACAGCAGCTAGAACGGGTGGTGGAATGGGGTGGGTATTTTTGGGAGGCAATGTCGTTGCCCTGCTGACTGGCCAACTTTAGTAAGATGAATGTTTGCCCAGGCAAATGACAGGCAGCGAGTGCCGCCTTCCATCTTGATTTTGAGTGCATAATGACAGGAGGAGCCCCTAGACTGAGGCAGTGGCCAGCCATGTAATTGGTTAGCACCGACGGGACACATCGACGAGCGCTCTTAAAGTGCTCCTCCAAGTGCTGTCAGTGCCAGTGCAAAAGAGCAGTCTGCTCGAGTATGCGAGTAAAAGAAATGAGAAAGAGGAGCAAAGAGGAGCAGAGAGGAACAGAGAGGAGCATCAAAGGCAACCGGATAAGCGCTACTGTTGGAGGCGTCATCATCAACCGAGATGGTCGTCGTGGTCGTGGTCGTGGTTTGTCTCGGTTTGCAATTTCACAAATGGATTTGTTGTAATTTCTTTTGCCACAGCACCTGATGCTCACACTGCGACAGACAGATAGACAGACAGACAGACAGACAGACAGACAGACAAACAGATAGACAAACAAACGAATGCACAGACAGTCAGACAGTCCAAACAGAAATACACAAAACCCAAACACAATGTGGAAATAGGAAATAACAAAAAGGCGAACAGCGCGCTGCAAACGGTAGAAACTTTTACACTTTACACATTTTCACATATGAAAATATTTTTTGCAAGTTTTTATCACTACTCCAAGCATCCCACGGCTCAGAGGGAGGCAGGTTGGGGGACTCAAAACATTTATGGGATTTGTGTTTGCCAGACATGTTTGCATTTTGTATATGCGATATGTTTGAAAATCCCATTTCTGCCACTGGCGGTGGTGCGGGAAGGCAATGGGTTCGGATTTTGTTTCGAGTTGGAGTTGAAGTTCGCGCTGGGGTTGGGGCACAGATTCTCGTTCAGGATATGCATAAAAAACAGACTCATTTTTCTGGTTTTTGTCACTCGCTGAGATCAGTAGAAGTTTAAAGTTAACAACAAGTTTGGAGAATGGGATTTAACTGCTAGAAATTATTCAAATTAATCGCTTTGAGAGTGCTTGACTTTGTTTTATAGCGAGATTAGAGACTTTTGCTGTTAACTTTAACCTCAATTTCCTGTTTGAATTTCAATATTGATTTTGCTGTGCGGTTTACCGAAATATATGAAATAGTTTAGTTATTATTTGAAAAATTTATTCACATGAAACCATGTGATTGCAAATAGCAGACAAAATAAATCTTTACCTAATAGAGAAATTTGTAAATTTTAAATTTACCAGACTTTTTAATTTTAATATCACAAAAGTAAATATTTATTTATTTTTACTATTGTAAATATGGTCACAAAGCTCTTCAAAACGACAGCAATAAATAGAAAGCAAGTGAAAGCAAACAATATCAAATATTAATAACTAAATTTAAATAAATAAATAAATTCACATTTCAGACAATTTTCTTAGTTTCAAACATTTTGTGATAAGAAAACCATATTCAATAACGGCATTTTTCAGTAACTTTCAAAACATTATTTTTATTTATCAAGAGCTTATTGGTTATAACTATTTATAATCAAAATGAAAATCTATTTTATGAAATATTCAGTTTTTCTATACGGAAAAGTCGGAAAAATCGAAAAGTCAACCGGCTGTTGCGCTATTATCTTACTAATAGTGAACACAATCTTGATGATGAACCACTGTCTGCCCGATGAAAAATGAACAATTTGCGTGTCCGTTTAATTTCGCCCATTTTCAATGACTTCGTGTTTGTCACAGGCACACAAAGAATGTTGAATATATATGTAAATGTATTTATTATTAATATGGGAGTACAAATTTTCCAGCAATAATGACCACGACTGACCAAAGCAACCGCTTGGCCCCGTTGCCTGCTTGCCTGGTTTTGCTGTTGTTGTTGTCTCTTTCGTTTTTACAAATGACTTTCGTTCACGTTAACGTCGACAACGTCGCTATCTTAACTCATAATTTTCCATCATAATTTTCTATTTTTCTATTTGTTATGTCCATGCTTTTGTTGTTTTACGTCCTTATTGTAGTTCAGCTTGATTAGTTTCTTTCTGTCTCTGCCCATTTTGTGTCTATCCCACTGTCTCTCTCCCTCTCTCTCTCTCTCACACACACTGTCTCTCTCTCTCTCTCCGTCTGGCTAAGTTTGCACGTCGCCATATTATATTGTATTTAGCCTGCCAAGTTTATGCCATTAAAGGCGAATTGAGGTTATGTTGACTTTGTTTAGTGCTTTCGTTTTTTTGTTGTCCCAGCGCTTTGGCCGTGATTTCGCTTCGCTCCACTGTTTGCTTGACTGATGCGCTGGATAGATTGTTGATTGAGTGCTGAATGTTACAGTTTGAGATATGAAAAGTATTTCGCCAACTTTATAGAGTTTGCTCTGCCATTTATGATAGCTGCGCTCATAAAAAACTAAAAGCAACCAATCAAAATGGCCAATAAAAATGAACATTATATCCAAAGATCCCAAACCAAATCGAATTCAATCAAAATGTTCTACTATAAATTCAAAAAAATGAGAGGAAAAACTAACTTTAACACTCAGTTTGGAGATAAGTATTGCAAGTCATAATATTAAGTCAATAAATATAATTAAGTATATGTACAAATTTATTTGTATTTGTATAATATTTGAAATGCTTTAGGCTAGTAATTACCTCCCACTATTGTCTACATTATTTGCTTTTTAGGATGCATTCATCTTACATGCATGGTTCAACTCCTTCACTTCGCAATGCCATTACCATAAATTAGAAAAAAAAATAGCCCAGTTCGAATGCGAGCATAAAGAAACCATAAACGAATGCCCGCCCACACAAACGGCAATTAAATTATATAGAAATCACCGAGGGCGCACAATAAATTCCAAACTGAAATG